GAGATGGGCGCCCCTTTGGGCTCTGGGTCGCTGATGGGCTGGGGAAGTGGCCGTGGCAGAGGAGGCCTTCCAGGTGCGTCCAGTCGGGGTCGCCCGCCGCCGGGTGCTACCTCTGGCCCGTGGCCTGGTATGGTAGGAGACGAGGTCCCTTCCTCACTTTTGGCACCTGCAGAATTGAGGCCCAGGAGGAGCGGAGGCTGAACGAGTTTCTAGCTTCAGGGCGGGGCTTGAGCCCTCCCGGCTGCCTGTGCAGATGAGCTGAGACTACTTGTGGACCCGATCGATGGTGGTGGCTACTCTTTGAGACAGCCTGGGGAGGGCAAGCAGGCAGAGAGGCCCGCCCAGGCCAGGGCCACCTGGAGCTGGCTGGAGGATGTCTGTTACAGTGCAGAGTTTAAAGAACACGGGTCTGGCCGTGGGGGTGAGGGGGACTCTGGGCAGCTGGAGGCTTCCCTTCCCCGGACACTGCCAGAGGCAGGCCAGAGCTGAGAACTGGAGCCCAGGCATCCCAGGAGGCGGGTCCCTGGGGAAAGAAAGGGTGGTGGCCTCCCAACTAAGGAGGAGCTTGGGGAGGAGGGCCAGTTGGGCAGGCTAGATAGCTCCCCATTCAACCTGCCCTTCACAGAACAAGGCCAGGTAAGGGCTCCTCCCTCTTCACCCTGCCTAGGAATGTGGTGGGTGGCCCCACCCTGGGAGGGTGAGCTGTCCCTACTCGCAGGAGGCTGGCCCCCCTGCCCAGCTGCCAGGCGCCCAGCCCAGCTTGGGTCTGAGCTGAGACCTATTGGAGAGGCCTCTCATCTGGGCCCTGGTGGCACCAGGCCGGGTGTGACAGCTCAAGGTGGGAACTGCCTGCTGGAGCAGTAAGAGATCAGGAGGCACACGGGCCCAGGCGGGGGGACCTGGGCCCACACCTCTCGGGGTCCTCTCCCCTGAGGACTATCATTCTTCCGGTCCCCTCCAGAAGAATTTTCCTGCCGCTCTCTAGGGAATCAGGGGTGAGGGTTGGGGTCCCATCGGGACCGTGCTGTTTTCTGGCCTTGGCCCAAGAAGGGGCAGTGTAGGACACAGCTGGTTGCAGATAGCACAGGTGTGTGCCACCTCGGTCCTGATGGGTGGCCTTCTCTTCTGCAGACTCCTTTGTGAACAGCCAGGAGTGGACCCTGAGCCGCTCGGTGCCGGAGCTCAAAGTGGTGAGTGAGCCCTTGTGGGAGGTCCAGGCCGCCCTGGGGCTGGGTGGGTACGGGTAGAGCAATGGGCCCAGGCTCTGCTGCACCCCACCCCCTCGCCCCCGATGCCAGGCCCTTCCTTTTCAGGTCTTGGCCTCTCTCCGAGGCCCCTTGCTTCTGGTCCTTTCCTTTCTGGCCCTTAGCTCTGGCCCCTCTCCTTCCTAACGTCATCTGCCTTTCCTGCCCCGTCTCTTCCCTCTGACCGCTGCTCTCACCCCTTCCTCTCCCACAGGGCATTGTGGGGAACCTGTCTAGTGGGAAGTCGGCCCTGGTGCACCGCTATCTGACAGGGACGTATGTCCAGGAAGAGTCCCCTGAAGGTGAGCGTCATTGGCTTGCCTGGGCTCTGAGGCTGGCCCCTCCGCCCCCTTCCTCTCTTTGCTGTCGTCTGTGCAAAGGGGGGGGCTGGAGCCCCTTGTCCTTCCAAGTCCTCCCGTCTCCTGTGTTGCTAGCTGTGGATTTCAGAATCGCTTGGCCCCCGTGGGCTCTCCCAGTTTGGGGCCTGACCGTGCGCTCTGTCCTAGGGGGTCGGTTTAAGAAGGAGATTGTGGTGGATGGCCAGAGTTACCTGTTGCTGATCCGAGATGAAGGAGGCCCCCCTGAGCTCCAGGTGACGCTCCTGCCCCAGCCCCGGCTCGTGGTGCCCCTTTCCCGAGGATCTGGTTGGGGCTGGGCAAAGCTGTGTGTGTGTGGACAGGGGCGCGGAGGTTGCCCGTGAGCAGGTGAGGGTGGTAATTCTGCTCCGTCCCCCTAGTTTGCTGCCTGGGTGGACGCGGTGGTGTTTGTGTTCAGCCTGGAGGATGAAATCAGCTTCCAGACCGTGTACAACTACTTCCTGCGGCTGTGCAGCTTCCGCAATGCCAGCGAAGTGCCCATGGTGTTGGTGGGCACGCAGGGTGAGCGGGCCCGCGGGGCTGGCACGGGGGAGGGGCGGTCCCGGGTCACTCCCCTCTCGGTGCTTCCTGAGCCCTGGTGTCACCCCAGAACGGGCAGCGCCTCCTTGCCACGCGCGCGCACGCTGGATCTCCCCCAGCTAGACCCTCCCACCTGCGTGACGATCGCGCCCGTGTCTTTTGAGACGCGGGAACAGAGCAGCTGGCTCATTTCTCCTCTGAGTCGGTGGCAGGGCTGGTCTAAGGCCTGGAAGCCCTTACGCTTGTGCTCCGTGTCGCCCACCCGCCCTCTGCCCCAACGACCCTCCCCGGCCGTGGCACCTGCTTCTCAGCCGGCTGAGTAAATTCCCACCCTCCCGCCTCCGACAGACGCCATCAGTGCCGCAAACCCCCGGGTCATCGATGACAGCAGGGCCCGCAAGCTGTCCACGGACTTGAAGCGCTGCACCTACTACGAGACGTGCTCTACCTACGGGCTCAACGTGGAGCGCGTCTTCCAGGACGGTAACTCGGGCGCGGGGCGGGACGGCACCCCCCCGGAGCGCGGCGCAGGAGGCTCTGCGGCCGGCGGGGGGCCGTGGGCCC